ATAAATATATATTTATGTTAATAAGCTATCACAAAAATGTCAAGTAATTATAAAAATAATATGCATATCAAACAAATTTACTAAAACAATAAACTTATTATTTTTAATTAATATAGTTAAGCATGCTTAGATTATTTTAGCAAATTTAATCTTATATATGAACCATATAAAGTTATTAAAATTTATCAATATAATAATCACTTAATTAAAGGAGATTCTTAATATATAAATAAGGCTCATTATCCTTAATTAAGTGATTAATAAATTAATTAATGCATAAATCTATATAAAGCAAAATAAGGGAATATAATAGAAATTTAGAATCATCTTAATTTGATAATATTTGAAATATGATCAAAGTTAAGTTTTGGTAAACCTATAATACATATAATAATTTAAAATAATTTTGAATTTTATTTGAATTTATAATTTTTTTTTTGTTTGAAACTTGAGTTTAAGCCATCAATTTGAAGTTACAACCCTAATAAATTTAAAAATTCTCTAAGACTATAAATACAATTTTGAGTACCCTTTGAGACTCCTTGATCATCCTTTGAATTCCTTGATCATTAGATTATTAAATGAATGTTGCTTTAAGGGCTAGAAATTAAGCAAGTACCTAACCCTAAAATCACTTTGCATAAATTATTAGAACAACCAAATATATATTTTTTATCATCCAAATAAGTGTATGCACACCATGAACTCATATCGTAACAAGTAGGAATTACAAAAATGCCAAAATGAATTATCCTAAGATGTACATTCGACATCCAAGTGTGGAAGAGATGGTATAAGACAACATATTTTGAAATATTTCCAACCTCTTTTACAATAATACTTTTAGTCTTTATTAGATTAAGGCTTCGTTTGGGACGGCTGCAGCTGTCGGTAAAGCAGGTTGTGAAGTTATTGTTCATAAAGTTGCTTTTTAAAATTGATGTACATAAATCAGGAAAATTTATTTGGGTAATATAACTGCTGAGTTACTGTACTGCTGCTGTATGACAACAAATTACCTTGATACCCTTTTATATATTGAGATAAATATAATAATCAACTAACATTTCTGTATTAAAATTAAACAATTTTATCAAATCTTTTATAAGTTTATATATGAAAATACTATAAAAGATTATACACAAATATGTAAGAGGTTGAGCCAAATGACTGTGATTATCTCTGGAAACAAAATTCCTAGTGCTGAGCAATCTGCTTGATGGGTGAAGGCCATTCCTCAAGATGCCAAGGCTTCTCTGCTTTGAGAACATAGAAGAAGATGCGGAGATGAGAGGAGGGCTCACACCTCCTTTACTCGACTGTCGGAGATCCAAAAAGACGCCATTTTCAATTGCTTTGTCATCTTCTAACATCTTCTGGGCACGCACCACCTGCTCCTCTGACACCTCTGGCCGCTTTACCTGCGCCACTGGCGACTGCGGTTTCGGCTTTGTGGAATGCGGTTGTGCAGCCTCCTCTCCGCCCACTACCCTAGCTGAATTCACCCTCTCCTCTGCTGGCGGGAACAATTTCTACAGCGTGAGTTTGTGGATGGCTATAACCTCCAGATCGTAGTTGAAAGCAGCGGCGGGGTAGGCGGCTACGAGATGACTTGATGTGCCATGGATCTGAATCTGATGTGTTTGATGGAGCAGAGAGTGGGGGAAGGAGAAGCCTGCCGCAGTGGTGCAGCGCCTGCGAGGCATTTGGACAGCCAGAATACTGCTGTAGTGATTTCACTGGAGGGGAGAATCGTAGATTGCAAAACTTTGCAAGGATGAAGACGGCCCTTTTTGTAGCAAGGTCATTTACGTATTCTTATCACATCCGAACCACGGAAAGCAGGAGAATGCAGGAGGCCTTCTTAGGACGCAAAAAGCAACGGCGGGGCATGAAATTTTTTAAAACGGAGCAGCAACTCAGCGCCCCAAATGTACCTTTAGTTATGTTCTATAAAGTAAAGCAGTGAAAACATCCTCCCAAACCCGCCCTAAGTCCCTTATAAGTTTAATAAGTATATACTTTATTTAAAATTATTAAATATTTATTAAGTATACACCAAAGTGAATTATCATAAGATTATTTAAACATTATCATAAGCATGCTTAAGATTCTATTATAACCACTTACAATGTTGACAAATTACATTTAATTTTTTGAAGTAGGACTTTTTACACTATTTTACAAAAATGATGAGGTTTCAAGTTTTAATGAGTGACGGATATCAACATGTTAAGAAGTTGAAATTATATGGGAGCATCATAAATAATAACAGTCGGTAGTCAACTCACTTAATCTTGAGTTAAAAGCTACAAGACACCCTTGATGATGGAAAAACTATTTAGCATCAACTGGGTACAACAAAACTACTCCAAATTATAATGGGTGATTCTTAGTTTAGTATTAATAATTTGATTACAAGATGGTATAAGTAAAAAAGAATAAGCATACATTATATCATCAAAGGAACATATAGCCTTTCCAAAAAAAATCATGAATGTAACTTCTTTAAATGATATATAGCAACTAGAAAGCAAATTTCCTTGCCAACTCAGCAAAGAAGTATCATATGATAATATGGAGTTAGTATATAGCCAATTTACAATAATCTAATCCCAACACCTATAAATGTACAACAATAAAAAGGAACATATCCATGCACTAAGGAAAACCTTAGTGGGGCAAGTCAAGGAAAAATAATCAAAGTTGAGGCAACCAACCAATGGTAAGCTTTAAAAAGGTGGATTGTCAAATGAGCGTCCTTCATGATTCAAATTAAGAAGCATTAGATGTCATTTTCATTCATTACTAATATATATACACCACTCATTTGATTAAAAGGAAGTATGATGGCTCACTAAAGAGAAAAGCTAAAAAAATCTAGTGAGAAGTTTATGGACTATGGGGTCACATTAATTAAGCTCCAAAATAAAAAATTAAGGTTAAACTACTCAAGTAGTGTTAATAGACCCACTGCATCAATAGTATTTATAAGTGATACTAGTGCCAAATACATGGTGAAACACTATATCAAACTCCTAAGGTGCTCCATCCAATAATGGAATCATGTGCCTATAAGAGCTAAGGGATATAATTTGACTAATTAATCCATTATACTTAAAAAGACTTGTATTCATTGTAGCCACCAAATACTCTTCTAAGTAAGAAGAAGTAATTACCTTTAGAAAATTCAAATTTGATAACGTACAAAGTTTTTTTATATACAATTGTAAAAAAAAAAAAAGTAGCACTCTAAGATTTACTACCTTAGAACAAATAATTAGTTAATACCTTTAAGAAAACTTTAATCAAGCTTATCAAGAAATTCCTCTCAATTAATAAATGAGAGTCGCATGAAAATATGATAAAGATATTGCCAAAAGTATAAAAAATTAATATAACTCCTTCCCTATCAACTAAGCATGCAATAGCCATTGGGCCAAAGAAAAGCTTCCTCTAAAAGTATAGCTCCTTTAACATGTGTAGCAATCAATCATAAGCCGATGAAATGAGATAATGTTTGCCTACAATAATAAGAACTTGAAGTAGTGGATGAGTTTTAAATCCGAGCCTAATAAAATCTTAAACTCTACATAGAACAAACAAGTTAAGTCCATAATCAATCTATTCATCTAAGAGACATTAAAGTTGGTGATGCCTTGTTTGCTCTTTGAAGAGTAATTGTTGCTTATCATCATACAAATTATAAATCCAAGCTATGTTAGGAAGGTCATTTTCATTATTGAAAGAATTAGCAAAAGGTTAACCTTATCAGCTCATTGATGAAAAATCTAAACGGTTGATGCCTCTTATCAAGAAAGGTACTTGATAAAGTACTATGCCAAGCTTAAGAGCTGGCGTACCCAATTGAGTTGATTGAAATATGAGTTTGGTAAATTTTATCAAAACCTAAATAAAGCCCTAGTTTAATTTTACAAAATTAAGCTATTTTAGATGACCAAAACTTATAAACAATTTAGTGTGATAGCCAAGAATGGATCTAGGTCATCAAAAGCCAAATTCATTAATTTTTTGGCCCATTCCTCTAACAATAATCATGGTTACTTAAATTCGACTCACAAATATCAATTAGGCAAGCTAAATTCGACTCACAAACCTAAATTTTGAAAATCCCACATATAGTATATCCTTATTTAGTCATTAAGGTTAGATCTGAGTCAATAAAACTCAAATATATAAATCTTCAATGAAATTGTCATCTTTTAATTTGAGTTAACCAATGAATGTCAATATCTTGATTTAGTCATCAATACTGAATCTAGACTAACGAAACCCAAACCTAAGTTGAGAGCTGCTTTGTGTCATTATTTAATATTGTAAAATCCTACCTATATAATGGAGCCATCAACCATTAAGGTTAAATCTAGTCACCAAAACCCAAAGTCCCAAAATCCCTAATGAAGCTATCCCTCTTATCAATTTACTTCCATCAATGAAATTAGAGTTGAGAGGTATTTAATGAGCAATTTTTTTTCATAAAAATTAATACTAATTATATGATTCAATATAATACACTTTATTAAGGAGATCTTAAGGCTTTTAAAGAGCATAAATGCTATAATGATACTGCTTGTTTTAGAGAAGGTTAATATTTCTATTATTAAAAAAAATCAAATTTCTTCAAATTAATTAAGTTGATAATAAATATTTATATTTTGATTATTTTAACATTTATGAGGAATTAAATTCTACCAAAAATAATTAATATTTTAATGCCACCCGAAAAGTTAAAAGTAGTTACCGCTCAAAGCCTCCGGTATAGCGAGCGTGGTCGACAGAGAGGTGCGCAAGCGTCATTGGTCGGCAGCCAGCAGTCGTGAGAGGTGAGTGGTAGGGGAGTTTCGAATTTTGGCGGTGATCACACTCGCCACTGCTTTTCGATCCTTCCTCGGAACACGTGCACGCGTCCCATTGGCTTGGATATTTCCACGAAAGGCCAGACCTTTTTTTCTCCACTATAAAAGTGTGGCTGCCGCTGCAGTCATGATGCTCGGAATATCTTCGCAGAGACGTCTTTGCTTTCTCGGTTTGAGGGGGGAGAGAGCGTGAGAGAGAAGAAGCGGATATGGGAACGGGAAAATGATGGAGATTAGGGTTAGGGTTTTACTGCAGCTTTGAGGAGAAGCAAATTAGTTGGTCGAAGTTGATGGAGCAGGGAGGAAGCTTATCCGGGCTCAGGTAGCTCATACTTCTGAAACTTTAACCTAGTTAATTTACTTCGTCGGTAACCACAAGATTAGCGTTTCCTGGCTCTTTCGATGATGGCCGGATGAGATGTTATTAACAATACCTTTTATTATTGGAGATTCTGAGGAGGCGAGATATTTTGGGGGTAAAGGTAATTCCATGAGGCAGTAGGTTTTTTGATCGAGTGTTTGCTTTTTTTGGAGCAGAGGGAACTATACTTATGGTTTTGTAAAATGCAAGGTGGTAGTGCTTTGGAATTTGATGATGAAAAATACATGTTTTGCCCTGTTTATTACATTAGATTCATGGTTTTATTTAGTAATTTTACTGTTGTTGTTCTAGTTTTGTTTAAGATTTGAACTTTGATTCTTCAAACTATTTGTTTGTCTTAATGTTTAATGAATCATGATTCTAATTGCTTTATGGTTTTCAGGGGACTCTAAAGCGAGGGATATTTGTTTTTCTTATTTTGCCAAGAGATGAGTTACGGCAGAGATGATAAAAATGGTGGAATAGAAAGAGGGAAGTTTACGAATTCTGGACCAAAAAAAGCAGCGGATTCTGTTCATCCTGGCAGGCCGTCCATTGACAGTGACTGCACTGTTCCAGTTGAGAAGTTGGAGATTGATAAAAAGCTTTTGATTGATCCGAAGAAACTTTATATAGGATCCAAGATTGGTGAAGGTGCTCATGGGAAAGTTTATGAGGGAAAGTAAGTGAAATCTTAGTAGTAACGTTTAATTACCACAAGGCATTAATCAGTGCAAAGATACAACAATTTTGCATTTTTACTTTGTAGTTTTATCAATGGTCATGTGCTCTGTGCCGTATTTTCTTTGTTGAGCTGCAAGTATATGCACAAAAGAATTGTTGGAAATGTTTGTGAATGAACCTTGTATGAAAATGACTAATTCATTTTGTTAAACATAAATGATAATTAATTCATTCCTAAACATTTTCCAGGATTGACAGTGAATGCACAAATAGATGTTGAAAATAATATTATCTATTATCTTAGAGCATAAAGGACTGCTTTGTGTGGGGAATCACTGTTGATGCTTCTTCTCCCAACCTCCACTTCTCTTGCTCTTTCCTTGCTTCTATCTTAACATGATTTAGGTAGAATATTTGTAAACACTAATTGCATAACCTAAAATTATTGTGATTGCAATAAATAAAAAATAAAGAACATGGAAAGTTTCTATTTCTATTAGGGGCAAGAGTTTACTGCCTTGTGGTCATTTCTCTATTAGCATAATATCCTAAAACAGGGTCATATAAGTAGAATGGAAGCTTTGATATTTTTCTCCTTGTAATCTTTGACACCATTTAGTAGTGTTGGTAGGTGTACCTTTACTTTTATGTTTGGCAAACCTATTAGAATTTGAATAAAAACAACAAGAAATGCATGAGTGTTTTTTTTTTTTGTTTTACTTTATTATAGCAGCAACGTTGCATTAATGGCCGAAAATATAGTTCCTTATACCATGATTTTAGTATTATACTTGAGATTTGTCGATTCTTTTTTCTAACGTCTTATCTCTTGCTCATTCTTTTTTCTAACATCTCAACACCTGCTCTCTAACTCCAACTCTTTGCTGCTTCCCAAACCATGATAACAATTACTTTTTATAGCATGAACGTATTTTACCATTAGAAATCTTCTATTTTATACTTTCACTAACTTCTAATTTATAGATAATTGATCTCCTTTTAGAATTTCCTTATGATTAATTGGAATGTTGGAATGTTTTCTATACACCAACAGACCTCCATAAAAAGTACACGAACTCAATTATTTTCAAGGGTAAAACACGTGGATTCAACTGTTCATTGTAGTGATATACTTTTGGTGTGCTAAGGATGCCTCAGTTTCATCAAAGACTTTGAAACAATCTTATTGGCTAGTATTTGAAGCCAAGCTCATGGAAAAACCAAGCATGCTTTCCAATGTCATTTATATTTATTTGTTGGAGCACTTTTTTGCTGCATCTTTTTAGATGAGAATTCATAAATAGGTCATCTAGAGAATAAATATTAAGAACTATCAATAAAGGCTGCTCACCTATTATTCATCTCAACATGCTCGTGTGAGAGCATCCATTCACTAAGCTACATGCTTATGTACCTATAAAGAACAACTAGCCTCATGGTCCTTCTATAGATGGTAAATAAATCATATTTGGTAACTATTAACATTGGTCTTTTTCAATAGTATTGTCAAAACGACACTAATGGCACCGAGTATTCTAATGGCCATCTTTAAAATATAGCTAATCAATAAAAACTCCTAATCTCAAAGATAGAAGTTGGAGTTACTAATCAAGTTTATTTATTTGTTTTTTTTATTTTTAAGTGATCTAGTTCAAGTCCTCCTTTAAAAAGCACTACAAAGGCATGAAATATGATTTTTTATTGCATATAAATGCCTTTTTGAGATTAATATACAACTTTTCTTTTTTTAACTTAGAGAAGACTATACACAAATGATCAAGTTGCTTGGTCTTAGTTGAGCTAAAACTTAGTATGTCATTGAAAGAAACTACTAGAAACTTAACAATGAATGGCAGAAGCGTAGCAACTATATCATCAATCTCATAAAGGTCCTAGTCATATGGACAATCCAATTGGTATGGTGGACTATTTGTATAGCATGTGTCTTAAGCGTTTTTTTTTTTCTGTTCATCCTTAGATAAATCCAAATCTAATGGTACCACTGCACAAATCAAAATTTGAATTTACATTGACCCAAATATTATGTCAAGCATGCCATCCAATGTACGTTTTTGGAATATATACTTCTAGTGATTTAATTTATTTTGTGATTATCAACAGACATAGGCAAAGAACCATCTTTCTTCTACAGGAACAACTTAGGGAGAACAGATGTGCTTAAATTTTGTTGTAGAAATTCTTTTTGTATTCGTCCATCTACCTTGGGTTTGAGCTCATGCTCATCATGCTTTTTGGGGTTCATTCTACCATCGCGCAAATTTGGTAACTGTGAACTTGATAAAAAATCAATGTCATATTGAATCTATCTCTCATATAGGGTATGCTGATTCGGAAATTAATTAAGAGTAATGCCATGAAATTTTTTGATAAATGGTCTCTTACCATTGTAGGTATATATTTTGTTAAAGGCAAGAGAAATTTCATGTGTGAACAATAGAAATATTATGAGGAATTCAATGATAATCCTCTAGAATGCCTTTGAATCACAAAATAATAAGCTAGAAATGAATTGTGGTATGTTGAAACAGTTGAAGCATTGATCAGAACCTAAAATAGTTAAATAAATTTAGGAGTGGACGGAACAATGTGCAAAAGTTATAGTCTAGCCTCAGGGAATTCCCTAAAAGTAGTCTTCATATTAGATTCAGGCCTTTGTTGTTGTGCAGACGAAGACTTTGTAATATTTGTAGGAAATAAATGATCATAGAAACCATTGACTTTAATAAGTATTTTCTCACCCATAATGGATAATTTCATGTGATATTGTTCTTGAAATTCTAAGAGGATATGTGCAATATCCATGGGGAGGACGTCAGACTGTATCTTGTCTTTGTAGCTATCCATTTGGATTGGATCTAGGTAATGCTTATTTACACGTAGGAATGTTTGGTTTACCCTAGCTTACATGGAAAGTAACATGATTTAAATTTTCTTTTAAATTAGCTCTAAGCAAAGTTGCTTTTGATATAAAATCCATTGAACTGCAACCATCTATGACTAATTGGCATCTCATATCATAATAAGTTGCACACATTAAGAAAGTACTAGCTCATTTTCAATCCTCGTAAGTGGTTGAGATGTAAAAATAAATCTTACAACTAGCCTTTGCACTTGATCATCATTGAAATTTTTAATATCCTCATCAGTTAGATGCCACATTAATCACATCCTCAAACTTACCTTCTTCCTTCAAACATTGGAGTTTGAATGCCCTAGACTTATTAAAAGATTAAACTAATGGCATTGTTTGATGGTATGCACTTTTTGGTGATACTTTTTTTTTATTTTTTACTTTTTGGTGATACTTGAATCAATTGATTGTCAAAATATTAGCTAGTTTACCTGATACATTTTCTCATTGTGTAGTCTTGGATTTGGAAATTACCATTTGATCTTATTAGAGTAACAATCGATTGAGTATGGAATCTAGAGATTCCAACATGAATTGGAGCGGTTATTATGCTTGATGATGAGTGGTCAATGACAGGTTGAGTGCATTGCTAATCTAGTTGGTGCTTGCATTTTCATAGGCAATCTAAAGATTTATTTGTACTTGGATGACCAGATGCAACTAATCTTGATGAAGAAACAATCACAGGTGCAGAAAGAGTTTGATGCATACACAAAAGTGTCGTGGCATGTACGACTGAGGCACAAGTGGAAAGGGATGCACAAGTGGAGAGGGATGCACGCGGCTAAGGCAATTAGTGGAGCAGGAGTCGTGTGGAAGGATGTGCAGGTGTAGGAAGCAAAGTTATTTTAAAAGACAACCTTTTTTAAATTAAAAAAAAAAAACAAAATAAACAAAACTTCATCAAATTAACCAATCATAAGGTCATCCTATGAAATATTGCGCTCAGTTAACTGGTAATATGGCTTATTTTTTTTTTTTTAATTTAATTTTGATTGTGACTGAATTTTGTACTATCATTTAATTTATTTCATATTTGAGCCAAAGTTTAATTAATATTTATTTTTAAATACATTGAATTAAACTTTTAATGATAAACTTTAAATGAAGTATCGATTTATTATTTAATACTTTAATATTAGGTAAATCATTAAATGATAGCATGGAAATTAAGATAGGAGTTTTGATGTCAAATTTAATTATAAGTAGGGTTCTTAGCCAAGAAAATCACATAGTTATTTTCTTATTGAGAAGTTAAATGATGCTAAGGTTTCGTTTGGGATGACTTTCTTATTGTTTCTTTAAGTAGTTTTTTTAGTAAAAAAATTAATTTTTTAACTAAAAGCTGCTTTAAGAAGCAGTAAAAAAGCCATCCCAAACAAAGCTTAAGTAGCACTATATAATGTACGATAGAGAATTTTAATCTAGTTCTGTGGCTTGTCAAAATTTTAAACCAGATTATCCACATCAAAATTGGACTTTATTTTGATGGGTATTTAAGTGATTATTCTAAAATATATAAATTTAAATTAAATTAAGATTTAATCAATAAGTAAATTTAATTTTAAAATTTAAAAAAAAAAACAAAAGAACAAATAAAATTATGCTTTGCATTAAGTCTTAAAATTAACATTTGTTTATAAAAAATATTCTTTCAAAATTCTGTCACCAACAAAATTAGAAAAAAGTATCAACTTTAAAAGAAATAAGAAAATAAGCCATGTCACTGCAATATTTCACGATAGGACCTTGTTGTTGATTAATTTAGCGACAAACTCTGAATTTTTTTCTTAAATTCTGTTTCTATTAAAAATTAGAAATTTTTTTTTAAAAATTTAACTAGGGAAAGGTTTAGTAGAGGCCGGCTCAACAAGCAATTAATGGGTTAGAGCATGAAGGGGCCAATGCAGGTGATATGCATATATACTAGGCTTGTTGCAAAAGAGAGACATTGGTTGTAGGGGGTAGCCTTTGTAGGGAAGCGTTTGTTTGGGTTCACAACTTCACATGCAGTTGGACTGTTGGAGTGCTATGGTGTGGGTGCTAATTTAGTGTTTGTTACAGGATCAAGATGAGTAGATTTGAGAATTTGAGATTTATATGTGATGCACGAGCATGAGCTTTGATAAAATTTGATAGCTCGGGAAAGAATAAAACTCCACACGCAGTTTAGAGCGATTCATATTAACAACTTGGATGTATGGAGCACTTAATTGCTTTCTTTCATTCAATCATCTATTAATAATCCCAGATGTTCATCATGGGCTCCTCTTTTTGTATAAATGGGGTCACAAATATTAAGCCAAACATTTAAATGCTATTTAATCTTGTTTAATTCAACGAACGTTAAATTTAAATTCATATTAATTTCAGAGAGGAAAAACCTAATAAGGTAATTTACTTGAAAAATAAATCAAAATAAATTTTCCATATACATAAATCTGCTTGAAAAGGCTTGAAATGGCCTCAATTTAGATCTGCAGTCTGATTTGACTTTTGGTAATTGGTCTATAAGAACTTGTACTTGTTTGAATGCTTGCATTGAATTAACGTTCTTTATAAATAACACCAAACAATATTTCCAAAAGTTGATTTTTAATTTTAAAGGGGATAAATGTATTTAGTGTGGTGCAGCTGCCACCAATTTTGCATCGCAGAATATATACAACTACCATGTGATACTTGTGAAGAATGCTTGCGTTGCATTAAATGTTCCTTATAAATAGCACTAAACAATATTTCCGAAAGTTGATTTTTAACTATGGCCAATTTTGCATGGTAGAATATATGCAACTACCATGTGATACTTGTGAATTTTTAATTTGATTAGAAGGGACTTTTGAACATTGCATCATGTGTGCATTATTGACGTCTTCATTACTGTCTTTTTTGTGTTAATTTTTTTTCCATGATCATAAATCATATTTGAACCTCCATGCTTCATGGCGAGGCTATCCTTGTGTTCTTCAATCTCCCAACTTTATCATTACCCTACAAAGTGTAGGAAGTCAATTGTTTCCATGCCTATTTTTGTAACAGCTAGCGTGGGCTTATTGAGCCGTGCATTCATTTTTTAACTGATTTAACTTATCTTACTAGCTTAATAATATGGGCTATGCTTACACTATCATTAACTATCATTTATAATCTTAATCATTATTTTTATTGTTTATGGAATTCTATCCTTTTGTCTTTGGACGCATTATTAAGCCTCATGAGTGTTCATTTAGATCTATAAATAGAGCTCTCTTGTATTCTTTTTTATTCTAAGTTCAAATCGTTGAGTGAGCTCTTAAGGATTTTGAGTATTCAAGAGAGTTCTTAATAATAATGTAGAGGTTTTGTGCTCGTAAGCAAGGTTGCAAGTATATTATACATCTTCTTGCTTATTGCTTGGCTTTCAAATTCATTCATCGTAAATCCTCTGTAAGTTTGTTTTAGTTATAGTTTGTGATTCTAGTTATTGTAGTTTATTTGATTTTGTGTATTGCATTTTGGGGGTTTGATATTTTATATTTTGCAATTTTAGAATTATATATATTTTAAATCTTTGGACGCATTATTAAGCATAGAAAGTTCACTTTAATTTTGTTCATTGCAAGTTTGTTCATTGAAAATTTTGATAGCCATATCATGTCTCACTTGCATGGGGTATTTTTTGGGAGTGCTAGGTCTTTTAATCATGCTTAGAAAATTGCATAGTCAGAGTCTTGACACACTGTGGTCATGCGGTCTTCTATCCCATCGTGCTTGAAAGCACAGGTCTTTATTTACCTATTTGAGAGTCACTGCAATTTCTTCATAATATTGGAACAGAGCACTTGAGGACTTAAATTTGAATTTCCCTGTTGTGTTAAAAAAACACGCATAGGGCTTACTCGCTGCATCGCAAGTGACATTTAAAGAGTTCCCTCGACATGCAAAGAAAATAACCCATAAATTTTGCTTGTCACGTTGCATGTGTCACAATCATGATTTTGAGGGTTCTAAGTGTTAAATATTTTATACATGTGCACATGAGGTGATGACAACGAAACAATAATGAGTGCGTGAGGGAGCAAGAAAGAGAAATAGAAAGGGGAAATGAGGTTGAATGCCAATGTTCGTTTCTTTTGTTTTTGTCTTTTTTTTTTTCTTTTTTTTCCTCTCTAGAGAGAGGAAGAGGAGAGATTGAGGGAAAGGAAGGGAGAATGAGAGCGAGATGGAGAGAAAAAGAGAATAGAAAGAGAAAGAAATAGGGAAAAATAGAGTGAAAGTGAGCAAGAGAGAGATTAAGTGAGAGAGAGAATGAGAGATGGAGAAAAGAAAGAGAGAAAGAGAGAGAATGATAGAGAGAGAGAGAGAGAGAGAGAGAGAGAGAGAGAGAGAGAGAGAGAGAGAGAGAGAGAGAGAGAGAGAGAGAGAGAGAGAGAGACTCAGTAAGAGAGAAATAAAGGGTTGATAGGCAATGGCGAGGAAGAAGGCGGTGGTGGGGTGGCATGCATGTGACTAGTTTAATGGTAGTTGGGAGTTGGTGGTTGCGGCTAGGTGAGAGAGATTGCGGGAGAGTCAGAGAGTGAGGGAAGAGTGTAGAGTGTGAGAGATCGAGATAATGAGAGTGAGATAGTGAGTGTGAGTGATGGACGAGAGACTTAGGGAATGGGTGACTGGATAGGAATAGGGGGGGGGTAGTTTTAGGTTTTGACTTATTTTTTATATTTTAAATTTAAGAATGATAATAACAATAATAACTTATTATTATTATTTAGCTATCTAGCTATTTATTATATATTGTAATTTTTTTTTTACCATTTTTTATTGCTTGCATAAATCCAAGTCTTGTCGGCATCTCATTTATGGGCGAATTTTTCATTTTCTTCATGCGGAGGCCCCATACAAAATGAGTGTCTATTTATGCTATTTCTATTGCCCCAAATGCCTTTCCATTGTTCAATTCATGAATAGATGTTGTTTAGACGATTTTCTTTTGATCAATGTGTTTCGGAGAACATTTGTGAGAAGTCACGTCTTTCACTTGTCATTTTTGCCATACTTAGTTGAGTTAACCTAGGAGCAGTTATCGAGGTCAAGCGAGAGAGCTTCAACATTAAAACTACCTGTCCTATAATGCTTCTATTGTTACATTTGATCACATAAAAAAATAACTTCATTTATGCTTTACTCTTGTTATGCCGGCCTTGGAGTGCATTTATTCATAGGCCTCATAAAATTGATTAGGATAGAAGCAGGTGTAAGAATATGATATAAGGGCACTCGAATAGAACCACAAGAGTTGTGTAGAAGCCATCTTTGGAAGCCCAATGAATATAATGACAAGAAAGTTGGTCTTCTAGAGTAGCCTCAAAATTGGAAAACCTTTAGGAATAGCTATAGAAGCTGCTTCATACCTAGAAAATAGTAGGAACAACCATAAGATATTGAATAACTATTATTACAATAATTGCCTCCAACTATTGAAGGAATGCTCAATAGAATTGGAATACTAGTAAAAGTTGATGATAGACATAGGAACAGATCCATTTATGAAAGAAATCTTTTATTATTGGCATGTGAATGTAAACTCTAAACTATTTTTTTTAACTTAAAATTAAATAAAAAATCAAAATCTACTATCTCTTTGGCTATCATCAAAGCTTATCGTTCATGAACAGCTCATGCTAAGCTCTCTAAGGGCTTGCCTTCAATTTCTTTGTTAATTAAACAAGTTGATATTCAACAGTTATTTTGAGCACTTTCTCTTAATGAGCCTTACATAAAGAAAGCTTGATGCTTATACACACACACATGTACATACATAGTAGATTTATTAATTTATTAGTGGATAAGAAGTAGAGTGATTCTATCATATTTATCTTATTATTTATTTGTATATCTACGAAATCAGTTTGTGTTTGGTTTGAATTCTAATGAGCAGAGCATAATCACGGTGTTCATGAACCATTTTAAATACGAGCCAAAGAAGAACGCACTAAAATTTTAATGAGTTCAGAACAAGCTTGCTCCAATTTAGCTCGTTTACACCCTTAGCTATCTTGAACTTGACTAATGAATTTAAAATTGAGGCTCGAATTTGAAATTTAAATGATCAATGTAATGCAAATATTTATGTTTTAGATGGCTGTAGACTTTAAGCTTCACATTATGAACTATTTGTTTTTCCTATTTTGTTTCTGCAATCCTTACTTCCAGGTCACAATGGCGGGATTCTATTTATTGCTGTCATTGCCTTCTTGTATTTACTTATCTTTGGAAGGCTTATTATAGTTACAATTTTGTCTTCTCAGGTTTGGTGAGCAAGTTGTAGCACTCAAAATTATCAATGGTGGCAGCACGACTGAGGAAAAAATGACAATTCAGGCTCGTTTTATTCGAGAAGTCAATATGATGTCTAAAGTGAAACATGAAAATCTTGTTAAGGTGTGTTCATTTTGAAATGCAGCAGGCAGTTTATTTCTTGTTCAGTTAAGAACTGTTCAACTTATGCAGTTCATTGGAGCCTGCAAGGAGCCTATCATGGTTATTGCGACAGAGTTGTTGCCGGGAATGTCTTTAAAAAAATATTTGGAAAGTATTAGACCAAAGCAACTAGATCTTCGTCTAGCAACTAGCTTCGCAGTTGATATTGCTCGTGCATTGGAGTGCCTGCATGCAAATGGAATAATACACAGAGACTTAAAGCCGGGTCAGTATTTCTCTTCCTACATACATAAAACACTGTGTGCACTCACATATAAATCTTTACTTTCTTTTTTTCAGTATACCAATGTTTGTTTTTTTTCTTCCAAGACAACATTATTCATGTGATAACTTTTTTTTTTTAAATGCTGACCGTTTCCTACCCTTTTTTTCTTGGAAGAGTTGCTCCTTTAACAGAACACCATTTTTGGTTCTCATGTTTATATTACATGGCAGTTCCTAATTTGCTATGATTCCAGTCTATGATTTGCGATATAAAAACTAAGGAAGCAAGAAGCAAATAAAATTCTTCTTGAAATATCAGTTAATTAATAGCCAAATTGAAGTATTGATCAAACATCAAAATGAAGGATCGATCTTCTTAATTTTTTTTACTACTGCACTTGCAAGTCAAATTTTACTGCTTACGGACAAGATGGTAAGTTCACTGAAAAAAGCTATTATAGTAGTAATTTTTATCTTTAATTGTATCATCAGACTTTTATGAGGGAAAGTTCTGCAAAAAAGTTTAGTTGTTTGAGGAAACAAAGGTATCTTGAACTGCCACATTTTTTAGAATGCCTGATTGAACTGCCACATTTTTTGTATTATGAGTTACATAACTACAAAAAATTTGCGTGGATTGCATTTGGTCTCTGATGTGTTTATTTGCATTCTTCTTTTTTTTGTGGTGGTATGTGTTGATAGTTCTGTGCCGGTAAGTTGACTGCGTTGTAGTTGGAGTTCATTTGAGTAACTGAAAACCTGGCTGTGCTCACGTAGTTACTTGATGTGACACTTATGCAAAACTACAATGCGGAGCAGAAGTAAGCTAGAATCCGCCACTTATGCAAAGCTACATTGTGGAGTGGAATTAAGCTAGAATGTGCTGCAATGGTAAAATGAAATTCATCGATGCTTCAACAAAGGCCTACTCAATAAGTTATGGGAAGTATTTAATTTATTCAATTAATATTGGTAATCCAAAGGTCTTATGATGTTGAATATGGGCACTTGGTAATATTAGTTGTTAACCTTACAATCCCAAGCCTTAATGATTGTAAAGAGAAATAAAAGTTAGACAAGGATCTAACAATAGGGGAGTTAGCAATTATGAAGGCCGGGTTGAGATAACTTAAAGGCAGTCTGTATGAATTATCATTCGTCATTTGTTGAATTTTATAGTTAAAATCATGCAAACTCTTAGAAAATAATACTGTAAATGCACTACACCTATTTGACAGGAAAATCAATGCAATTATTCCTTCGAAACTTTGAAAAATTTCCTTGGTTCTTACTAAATTAATTTTATTTTCATTTCAAAGTTAATGTTCATGCATTGGTAGTGCTATTAGGAAAGTAAACACGTAAGACTTAAATGAATATGCCAGTTCAGCAATTAGGTTTATTGTCATGTAAATCAGTTCATCCTTTTACATGGTTGATTTAAAGATTATATCCATACTGAATAATTTTGATATTAAGTCAATAGAAGACTTCAGAGAAGGTAGCTTCATGGGTGATTATATAGGGTATACTTCTCTTGCAAGTTCAATAAAATATAGTTTTATAGATGTTCATTAAGATTATGATTTATAGGAAATGCAAGAGATGCCTCATCAATTATGAGGGTGATTAAATCATGATACATGGCTAATTGCCTTATTTCCTTTTTATCGCTAGTATCATTATAGTGTTAGACATCCTTGTCATTAAAATCCTTTGCTTGATTATCAATGTCACCTGTAATTTGGGGTAACATTTTAGAATTTAATTTAGGGTTAGGAAAAGGATTTCCCTCATCAATCTTAGGTTAATGGGTTGGTTCATAGATATAATTTTGTTTTTGAAGTAACCATGCCAACAAAAAGATCTTTGATGTTTCTTTTAATGTGTAAAATTCTTTCTTGAAAACTTTAGGGTTTCATTGCTTTGATAATCTTTTAGAGAATAATAATACTTACCACGTTTATAGAAAAAAGAATCTTTATATAATTTCTTAAAATGCTTAATAGGTACCAATGAAGAGTCACAGTGATTGTTCTTCCTCATGTTTGGTCTTCTCCCATCTTTAGGAGTCCTTCAAGGTGTGTATCACACTTATGAGGTTCATTACTTGAAAAGGGAGATAACACAAGCTAAGGTAAGTTTGCATTTAAACAAATAAGATTTCATTTAAAAGATTATCAAGTAACATATCATGAAACAATACTATTATATATAGAAATGAGCGAACTCAAAAGTTTGTGTCAGGGGTGATGTGGTGCTCAAATATCTAATTAGTGGTAAAAAAGCTTTTTCCAATGAAGGGATAGATTAAGGCAGCTTGGGTTCAACCATTATTAAATATAACTCACATGGCTCATGTCATTGTTCACACATGACTTGATACACAGTACAACTTTGGACCCTTCATTAACTCAATATGCTAGATCAATACACTGACATGCCTCGTGAATAAAAAAATGCTAGGATCAAAATATGTTGATTCTATAGAGAGAAGTGTATTAAAATGGGTCCTATGTATAAATTAGTGGACTTAATGATTGTGATGATGGCATTTGAGATGATGCCCTCGATCAATTAATACATTTGAATTTTCTTGTTACAGTTTTCCATGTTTATCATGAATAACTTGCAATTTAATTATATAATGTTATTTGAGATACATTTATTGCAACTTTCATTATTAGGCTATGTGTTTGGATAATATTGCGAATATGATCCCTTATATGGATAACTAAAAATGTGCAGATAATTTGCTTCTTACTGCAAATCAAAAAAATGTTAAGCTTGTAGATTTTGGATTGGCCAGAGAAGAAACAGTGACAGAGATGATGACGGCTGAAACAGGGACGTATCGATGGATGGCTCCTGAGGTTGGTCATATGTAGCATACAAACTTTGTTCAATGTTTAAAATTTTCTTCATTTTTTATTTCCATGCTAATTTATAAATATACTTAGGTAGTTGATATTGTTGGAATCCGGGTGCATCATTATCTTTAGAAAAGGCCTTATAATTTTATTTGTTGTAGTTAATTATTTCTTAATTATTTTGTTATTTTGTATCTTGGGTAAAGTGAGTATTTTAATGTCATATCTAGCATACAAACCGTATGTTCTATACAGGAGATAATATAGAAGATTAAATTAATAAGTAAAATCACCCCTTGAATGTTAGAATTGTATGACTTTTGTTAAAAATATTGTGCTACATGATATCTTGCAATCTTCCCAAAACTTGTGCTTTCCTTTGTTTCTGTACCTAACTTGCTGCTCAAGCATTATTTTTTTTCTTATTCAAATTATAATTTTCACCTTAGTAGATCTAAAACTGAATATATAGAGTGTAATTTTAATAGTAATAGACTTAGTGAGGGATTTTGACTTTGGACAATCAAGTGATTAATAAGAGTACACGTTTTAGATATCTTGGATCTATTATTTAGAGTGATGGTGAAATAGATGGGGATATTATCAATAGAATTCAAGTTGGATGGTGGAAGTGGAGGAATGCATCGAGCTTGTTGTGTGATAGAAAAGTCCACCTCAAACTTAAGGGAAAATTCTATAAGATGGCGGTGAGACCTACAATGCTTTATGGTGTCGAATGTTGGCCATTAAAAGAGAAGCATAATACTAATTTAAGTGTTGTAGAGATGGGGATGCTCGGGCAGATGAGTGGCTTTACCCTTAGAGATATGATACGAAATGAGCATATACATGAAAAGGTTGGAGTAGCTCCAGTGGAAGATAAGATTAGACAGAGTCGCCTTAGATGGTTTGGTCACATAAATTGGCGGAGTCGCCTTAGATGTATTAGATTTGACTTATGTTAAGAAAAGTAGAAGTAGACTTAAAAAGACTTGGTTAGAAAATATTAGAAATGATATTTTTTTTATTATATTTAAATGAGATTTTGACTTTTAACATGACATAATGGAGAAAAAAAGATTCATGTAGTCGACCCCACGTAGTGGGACACAGGCTTGATGTTGTTGTTGTATTCAAATTATATGTTCCAACTCAGATGATGATGATGATGAAATTGAAGTAGGTACACCTAAAGTTGCTCCTTGTAACACATGAACTCCAACAAGTATCTTTGTTTTCATGACAATTAATGCGTCCTTGCAAATTATATGATCTCCTAAGTTCCTACATCCTGCTTCACTAAGAGTAGTTAAAACTACAGTATTCATATTGAACTCTATAACATGCTTGGCTCTTGTTAATGTCCTACTCACACAAGCATACATCCTTAACTTCAGTGTCAAAACCTATGGACTTCATGCAACATTATCTCTCTATAAATTTTACCACTAACACATGATTTAACAATGAAGCATAACTTCTTATATGGGCACATATGCTATGCTTTTGTTGAACTTTAAATTCACTAATCATTATATGTCTCAATCAGCCACCAAGAGAACATCACTTAGGTATGCATCTGATCAATTGGCAACAAAAATAGCATATTGTGGCTTTATCCTTCTTGTGGTTGTCACTCACATGTTACTTTATCAAAGCTTGATAATATCTCTTAATGTGTCTTTCTCTTTTTGCAATAGAAATCATATTTCTTAATGTGTCCTTTCTTGTTCTAATGAAAGCAAGTCATGTCTTTTGCCCATGATAATTTTGTTATCATTAGTTGTACCTTATCTTGAAAGTCTATTTCTAACTAATATTTTTTCATCACGCTTCTCATCTCCTTTTCTCAAGTTTAGCAATCACTTATAAGATGCGAGATAAAGCTCTAATTAATTCTTGGAAGAGATTAATACTTGATAATCCAACTAGGCTTTACTAACGGGCCTCTTTAGGTCCTCGTGGGCCCAAAGTTGGGTAAGAAGCCCACTAACCTCTTTTTCTCCTTCATGACTTTGCGTGCACTTGAGATCTACAAGTGTTTCCCATCAGGGAGTTCCTCAAATGTACAATGAGGGATCTTGAGTCATTATTTTGTCATTTTATTATTATTTTTCATTATTCATTTATTTAGAATGGACTCGCCAGACAGAAAGGAACTTTATAAAAAGTAAGAAATTGTTTTTTTAATGAAGAGACGATACAAGTGCAATGACTTTCCTTTAGGAGATAAAAGTTTTTATGTTGTCAACACCGCATGCTCTCGACACTTCTTATTAGCATGAATGTATTTGTGGCTTGCTCTTGGGCCATCTCCCTTCTTGATGATGTAGGATCCTTCCCAAATGGACCCAAGTTTTCAAATTATGGAATGGTGAGGTGTTGCATCCACTTTCAATACTAGATTGCAAGGGTGGAGTAGTTTTAACTTCACATTTGCGTTGTAGTACGTTTCCATTTTTCTTTGTATTTCATCGCGCTTCTTTGATTTGTTTATATGCATATTTAAAATGTTGTTGTTGTTGTTGTATTTAGAATGTGCTTATTTGCCACCTAGTGGAAGTTCTGAATGATCTCAGTGGTCATCCTCACTAGAGTGTTTACTTCAATCTACTTTGAGGAGTAGTCATTCATCAGTGGAATACATTTTCTTTTTCTTTTAGAGGGAGGAAATGACCTAATAATATTTATCCTTCAAATGGTGAATTGCCAAGGACTAGTAAATGCCTAAAGCTTAAGGGAATGTTGTAGTTGCATTCAAGAGAATTTTTGGTACTGAAGGCATCTCTTTGATAATTCCTCAAGTCTTTTTTGAGTGTCATTTAGTAATATCTTTGCATGAACATTTTGTGGATTGGTGCTTTTCATCCTGAGTGGCTTTTGCACTCATGAGTGCACTTTCCTCGGTGCCTTTTCCATTTCTTTTTCTTTTGCACACCTTAGGTTTATTGAGGTTATCGATCTTTTGAACAATTTGCTCATAATTAAAAGATATTGACCAGCTTTGATTTTAAAGTTGTGCTGGTTCGTTATCTTGGGTGAGCCTTCTTCCATCTTTAGATACTCAATGTAGGGATTAATCTAACTAATTTAGCCATTAGACTTGACTCATATCATCTTTGCCTTTGATGTTAGGTTACAACAACCTTAAAGCTGGTCGTCCACCAGGATTCCTCGACTTTGATATTAAGTGAACGCGTTGATTTTAATCCCTTTGTATTTGCATTATTTTGAAATATTTAAATTGGTCTATCTTCATTTTTACCTTGAAGAGATTTCTGTAAGACTTTATTGTGCATCTTATACTTGCTATTAACTTGACTTACCATTAACTATGAGTCAGAGTACAATGAATTTCTTGGCGCCAACTCTAGCAGTAAATCTTAGTTCAACGACCAAGGTTTTGTACTCCACTTTTGGTGACTTTAAATTCGATGTGGATGGCTTGTGTTAGTATGATCTTAGCAGGGTCTTTCGATACCATGCTCGCTCCTTCGTAGTCTCCTGATACTCCATCCACATATGGAGTCCACACCTTATCGTCATCACTTGCCACCTTCTCCACCATTGAAGTCTAAGAGAAAATTGTCGAGTGCTTGAGCTTTTATGTCTCTCTGCAAAGGTATAGGAGACTTGGAATTCGCTTAGTTTGACATCTCGCTTGAGCAACATGTCAGAATGATTTGGTTTGACAAGTATAGCCTTGAGTTGATGGTTAGTGATGACTTAGATTGCATGGGTCTGGAAGTATGGTTGGAGTTGCTGAGCTAAAATTATAAGTGCCCACACCAATTTAATGATTGGATATCTTGGTTTTGTGCCCCTTAGCATTATGCTCACATACCATATAGGCCATTGCTTTTTTCCTTTCTCTGACTAACAGTAAGCCAACAATGTCCTCATCTAGTCTGTGATATAGCAACAGATTTTCACTTGGCTAGAGAATTTTTAGTATTAGAGGCAAAGACAAGGCAAGTTTTAGTTGTTAGAAAGCTACATCACTTTCCTCGCTACTGTGAAGTTTTTGGTGCTTCTGAGAACTTTTAAGAAGGCGAACACCTCTCACTTGACTTCTAGATGAAGTGATTGAGCTCGATGACTTGCCCAATGAATCATTGCTTAAGATGTAGAGAGACGAACATGGTGACATGGATTTGACATGATATGGGCATGAGACACGTCGATTATTAATGATATATGAGACAAATATGGGTTGGACACGATAGTATAATTTTTATAACTAAAAAAAGTATAAAAAATTAATAAGTAGAATATTAAAAATAATTGAGAATCAATAATTTATTTAATTAAGTTTTTTGCTTTAAATGGTTAAGCTTAGGACGTCCAGATTTGGGCTTTGATGTCGTGTGTTAGGCATTGAGATGAGAGGCGATTATGTCGTTAAGAGTCGGGCATTGATGTTTTGCAATGGGTATTAAATGTTGATGTTGAGATGGTGTTGGACAAACTTGACATGTTAAGACAACATCGATATGTCGTGGTGCTCCACACTGAAAGATGAATTTATTTTGAGGATATCTCAAATGTACCATTTACCACTAGGGCCTCTTTCATCTCTTAGTTGTATTCAACTTTGTTCCTCTCTCTCTCCCTCAAGATGAAACACTTTTGCGAACTTGTCACTAGCCCCACAGTCTTTAGGTAACGTGCTTGTGATTGTATCAAGTTGTCTTTCAAGGTGATCCCTTGATATCTAGTTGGTAATTTGGCTGCCACATAATATATCAAGATGAAGCTACTCAACAACTCGGCTCCTATCTCATTTTCAAAAGAGCCCGTGAACTTTTGGGTGTGGCCTTTGAGCACCTGTGAATTGTGTGATGAACATCCTTTTGCACTCGAAAAAAGTTGATGATGCCTAACATTAGGTAGGAGAATCTTCGAGAGAGGATTCTTTGAAGGTGGTAAAGAACATTCAGCATTTGATTGTATCATTGACGTCCACCAGTGATGTTACTGACTTGAATTGTTTAATTTGGTAGACGGGATTAGAGCTTCCTCAGTATGACTCCAAGTGGGCCATTTTGAACTTGGTGATTGGCTTCAATTTTGCAAACTTCCTAGAAAATATATTGGTCAGCTTTGGCTCTCTCCCCTTCACTAGGCTTTTTGTTCTCTAATCTTCTTCAGATTGTTGAGTTAGAGGATTTCTCAGGAGTACTCTCTCTTGGGGCATTCCATTAAGCTTTCCCCAACACCTTTTGTATCATCCTTGTAAGTCCTTTCCATCTCCATTAAATTACAACGGGTTGTGAAGTTTTAGTTCTCTATGATCATAAATGTCTCGTAGTTTTGTTGTTCTTTAGTCAATGTTTGTTTTCTTGTCCATTAATCCACGCTCATTAAAACTTTTAGGATGTTGGATCTAAATTTGTTCATGGATGACACCTGACCATACTAGCAAGTCTTGTTAGGCTAAAGCACGAGACAAGGAGAGAGAGTAGGTGAGTATGCATAACAACTATGAAATCAAGTACTCTATGAATAGCATAAATGACATGAAGTTCAAAATATGCCTCTTAACATTTTATTTGCTATAGGAAAGACTATACCTTAGCAAATAGAGAAATAATATATAATTTGACAGATACAAATTGGTATAAAAATGTGAACTAGGCTGAAATTCACACACATGCCAATCTATTTCTGACATGGCTCGAAAGTTTGGCGAGTATCTTGTGCACCTGTTGAGTTCTCAACAGTGAGTGCCATGACTGAGTCTTCGAAGATGAGTGCCTTGAACGAATCCTCCGAATGAAATTGGATGAATTTACCTAAAAAAATGTCTTGGACAAGTAGCAAGTCTCTTAGGGAAAGCAGCCGGTATTCTAGGTGAGTGTGGCTGTGAGATGGGGACAAACTTGATTGATGGAGCCTTCATTGTAGACTATTTAGATGTGTGCCTCCTATAGCATGGACATGGTTATTTTTGGAAGGCAGATTGCTTTGATCGGAGAGAACCATTGAAATAGTTAAGGGTCCGTTTGGGACTGCTTCACGGCTGCTTTGCTTTATAAAAATTTGATAAATGTTCGTTTGGGGCATTGCGGTAGAGCCGAGTCAGAAAAAATTCCGCGGGCCGTGGCTGCTTTCTGCGACCTCTCGGTGCCTCCCGCGGTCCGTTGCTTTCTGCAATTTCCAGCGCAAAAATGTCGTAAATGCCATAATGTGACCTTTCTTCGTTCTGCTGCCCCATGGATCCGTAAATCGGCATTTTTCTTCTTCGCAAAGCGGCCGACCCAGCAATTGAGGACAGCATCGACATCGTCCCAGTCGTTGAGCCTGAGCAGGCGCTCCACCTCCTCCGATACCTTCCAATCCTTCTGCCATCGAGTGCCGTAGACACGAAGACGATACCTTGCCGGTATCTGGTCCCGACCGACGCCGGTCACCTCAACGGAGACGTGGCTAACGCCCTTGTCGTAGTCGACGGAGCCAACTAGCCTTCTCACACTTCTTATCGTCCCTTGAGAACGACGATCGCAGGGCTTCAAGGTTGGATGAGGAGAGCTTCCAATGAATGTTCTCTCAAGGCAAGGCTCAAGTGTGCTGTTTGACCAACCTTCCTAAGGATGAACCTATTTTATACCAACCAGTTACATATATCAACATATATGGACATACATATACAACCAAACAACTCCTAAGAAATCGAATACTTCACATTGTACAACAAAAATTCTCAACCATATAACGCAGTTGACATGGAAACCAAAGAGCCCTTTTGGTGTCTGGGTTCCTCTACTCTTCCACCCAACTGAACCAGAGAAGCTACATATTCCTCAGTTATACCTAATTCTCTTATAGAAAAGGTTCCAGACATTGCTCTAGCTGGTTGATTGCCCAACTCGATAGTAGCCATATTAAGTTGCCTATTCTTGAATACGATCTACTAGGATGCCAAAGCTTTTGAATGGTAAAACGAATTTCCTTTTGGGGCTGAGGTCATAACTTCTAGTGGTGTCATAGTAAGATCATTTTCGTGTTAGGCTAAGCAATCAAACACCCTCCTTAAAATCCTAAAATTATTGTCCTTTTTTCACATTAGGCTACCTTATATTTATAAATCAGTGTTGCTTTATGTTTCGCTCAAAATCATCTCTGTAAACCTCTTCTCTCACAGTGCTTCATTATGTTTGAAATAATTTATAGCCTATTTTAGGACTGCTAACATCAATTTTACCAGTGAAGCCACGGCCAATATCTGTTAAACGCACTAATTGAAATATGCTGCAGCTGTACAGTACTGTTACATTGCGTCGTGGTGAGAAGAAGCACTATACCAACAAGGTTGATGTATACAGTTTTGGCATTGTTCTATGGGAGTTGTTGACCAACCGAATGCCATTCGAAGGAATGTCCAACTTACAGGCAGCATATGCTGCTGCTTTTAAGGTAAGGATAAGTTCTTTATCTTATGTTGTTGTTGTTGTTGTTTTTTTTTTTTTTTTTTTAAGTTTTCCTAATTTTTATGGCATGGAAGTTGATATCCTATAACAATTTATACGAATCTACAAACAAGTATCTTATGCTAACAATCATATATTCCAACATATTTGAAAATTGTTGCACAGAAGCCAAAATATGCTGAATATTCTTTTAAAAACTTGTAAAGAAAAATCAGTAAGCTTGCCATATGATGCGGTGGAAAACTTCAATTTTCTATGAGTAATGGCTCGCCATGATCACTTATTTTATTTTAGGCTTCTGTGAGCACGTGACTATCCGATTCATCTTCCTGCTCGTTATATTACTTGTTGAAACAGTCATAGGTGGTAGGTGTCATTTGTAATATTCCATATTGTAGATACGGTGCTCTGTGGCCACAACAATGGGTATCTGAAATTACATTGGACTAGAAGTATGAAAAAGTTATCTATTTATAGTTTGGAGCTGTGAACGATCTGGCCTTGAGCTGATGCCTATTTGGTTCAATATCTGATAAAAATCATTTAGTTTGATCTTCAGATTCAAGCTTGGTCTCCAAACCAGATTCTTTTTTTTTATTTTTTCTCTCTTATGACAATTTATTGTCACCATAGATGGTTTGGTCACATAAAACGGCGGCCTTCCGATGACTTGGTTAGGAGAGTAGATGTATTAGATTTGAACTATGTTAAGAAATGTAGAGATAGACCGAGAAAGACTTGGTTAAAAAATATTAGAAATGATCTTTCTTTATTAGATCTAAATGAGAATTTGACTCTTAACAGGATTCATGTAGCTGATCCCACGCAGTGGGATAAAGACTTGATATTGTTGTTGGTATGACAATTCATTAGCTCAACGGACATTCATGCACCCATACAGATTTAGATTCTGATATGGATCCATAAGACATTAATTCAAATGTAAATACATATATAAATAGATGGAATATGGCTTCATGCATACATGCATATAAAATTTGATCCAATCTTGAGTTAGTTTGATTCAATCTGATCTCAACTCAATTCAAATTTGGTTCAAGCCTGTTTGTTGCGTCAATGTGCCAAGAATTGATTTTATTTTTCAGTAATCTTTGAGTTAATTTCACAGTGCTATTTCCTGTAAATTATTAATAATTGTTTGCTTGTTATTGATAAGTACTAACTTGAGCTCCATTTTTCATTGCTCTTTGGACGACTACAAAAGCAAGAGAGACCATCCATACCAGAGGACACACCCGCTGATTTAGACTTCATCATAAGATCTTGCTGGGTTGAGGAACCCAATATGCGGCCCGACTTCAGCCAGATCATTCGCATGCTCAATGCCTTCCTCTTCTCTCTAACTCCATCTTCTCCACAGCCTGATGCTTCTCCTGCGGTCATCAGCAGCAGCAATGGCGCTCTTACTACCAACACCACTCGCTCAGTCCGAAAACTTTCTTTTCTCCGTCAAATCTTCGCAGCAAAAAGAGCAGGCAATAGTCGGACAACATAAGAGGCCATATACTTTTTCTAAGATCTGTAATCGGGGAGTCTCATTCTATATATTTTAGATATGTCACACTGAAAGTGAAAATACATAGAGTACAGAGGAAATTGCACAAAAATCTTATGCACCACTGGTGCACATAAGCTGTCTGGTGGTTCGGATCATTTGATTCTGCTTGACCTTTATGCAAATTCTTTTTAGGCTTCATTTTGGACGGCTTTCTTACTTCTTCATAAAGCAATTTTTTAGTATAAAAATTAAAATTTTTATACTAAAAAGTTGTTTTAAGAAGCAGAAAGAAAGTCATCCCAAACGAAACCTTAATCTCATGGCTAATGGATTCACACTTGTACAAGCAGAGTGTGGGGCTCTGAACCATCGCATAGATTTTCACTGTACCATGGTTCATAAGATTTTTGTCCAGAAATGAAGTTTGTAGAAAGCCCATTTGTTGAAGCCAATGGGTTATCTTGTAGGATGCATGGGATGGCATTCTCATGAACTCATGTTTTTGGCAAGTTTTGTATATACAGGATCATAGTGCTCTGACGTTGCTCTTTTTCTTTTTGTTTGCTTTTGATACAAAAATCAAGAGGTTCCAGCCCAACTTGGCGCTCATCCAATTTTTTTTATTTTGAGTTGGATTTACCTGACCAAACAAATTAATTCAATTGATATAAATTTAGTTCTTAGTTATTGATTAAATAATTGTAAATTATATTATATATATTAGAGTTTTTTATATAAATTTTTATTTGAAGGCACATTTTTAATGTATTCAGTTATAGTTGGATGATGTGATGGCATGCATTTCGAGGTGCAGGAGGGGCAAAGAATTATGTGAGGACTATTCGCATATTCTCATTATTCATGTCTCTTTTTGCCTTTGGTTTACAAATTTTATGTTATTTTTAATAAAATTATTAAAATTTAATTTTTTGTGAATCTTTTATTTAGTGTTTAATTTTTTTTTGAAATAGATATTGTACTTTTATAGTTTAATTTTGTTTTTTTTTTTAAAATTGAAGGTATGTTTGTTCTGTAACTTTAAGCATTGAATTTTGGTTAGAAGCAAGGTTGAGAAAACCGGACCGGACAACGAACCGGAAGAAGGAGAGGTTCAAGGTTCGAAAGGTCGAACCGGGGTCGAACCGAATGATATAATAAATGCTAATATTATTAAAAATTTATAACATTAATAGGATAATTACGTGAATTTAACATCAAATAATATAATTCTAAGAATTTAAATTATATAATTTTAATAAATTATCTTTCAATATAATTAAATTAAATTGAAATGATGAATATATTATAATATAATTATAATTTATAAAATATTTAGTTAATTATATTATATTTATGAATATCTAATAAATTAACTATAATTAATTTTTATATTTCATTATAATTATAATAAATGAGATTCTTATAATATACATTATAACAAATTAAAAATTTTAATATAATTTATAAATTTATAATATTAAATTTAAAAATGTGTAATAAGAATAATATTTAATATAATATATAAATTTATATAATTAATTTATAAATATACATCATAACAAATTTATAATACAAAATTTAAAAGATTTTGCACCCAACTAGCCCAAATTCGTAGCCCAACTAGCCCAAATTTTGGCCCAGCAAATTCAATTTAATGGCCCAATAAAGCCCAAGCTAACATAGCATTCATGTTATCATGTACTCTTTTTTAGTCCCACATCATGAAGGAGTAAGAGATAGTTGGCTTTTGGCTCTATATATAGTTCCCTCTTCTCTTAAAAAACTTGTTTCATGAGGTGATAACCATATATAATGGTATCAAAAATCTCATTATTTAATAAAAAAATTATTTTTTAAAAAAGCAATGAAGTAAAATATATTATTTATATTTTATTTATCATTATTATTTTTTTTGAAACAGGCCGGTTCTTTTGAACCCGGACCGGTTCGCCGGTTCACCGGTTGAACCGCCGGTTCAGTTCGGTTCAGGCCGGTTCTCTGCGAAGCCGGTTTTTGAGCTGGACCGGATTGGACAACTGGCCGGTTCACGGTTGAACCGGTTGAATCGGCCGATCCGATCCGGTTTTTAAAACCTGGGTTAGAAGTTTAAATGTTTAGGGTACAATTATATATTTAATCATGTTGAGTTTAAGTTGATCAAATTTATGAAGTTATGAGAAATTAAATATGAATATTGGGTTTAGGTCAATCAGTTTTGCAAAAGAGTTGGGCTTAGATTTTATTTTTTGACTAGTTTAAATTTTTGTTTGGGTTTGGAAAACTCTAATGCTTGAAATCAACCTATTTTTGATGCGAAAGCTCCCAAGTCATCCCTCACTCAAAGCACTCAGTCTTGCACCTCTAGCAGTCCTGTGCTTGGGCTCATAGTAGTCTCGCACCTGCTCGTGCATCCACACATGTGCTAGCCCGCTTCATACTTGCTTGCCTCATTTGCGCATTTTCACTCCCTCGCTCGAGAGGCTTGCTCGCTCTAACACCCTTCACCCCCACACTTGCTTTGAGCATGGCGCTTGTGCCCGCATCGCACCTGCTTGGCTGCTTACAGGTTGATGGGTTAGGTTGGGTCTACTGAGGTCAGGGATGGGTTGGGTCTAGGTTTAGATTTTTTGACTTGTTTGCCTAGTTCGGTTGGATTTGGGTCGGATCAATTGAAGCCTGAACAATTTTGGGTTGGACCTAAACACGACACGAAAATTCATTTTGCACCCCTATATACATATATATACATGAAAAAGTAGTATTCAAGTATAATCAAATTAGATGGTTGTACTTTTCTTCAATTTAGTAATTCATACATTATTAAAATATGAATTTAAAATGAAATATGTGATGTGCGAATACATTGTGATTTTATGTAAAAATTTCGATTTATTCTATAGAAAGATTATAAATTAATGATATATTATTAATTTGCAAACCAGTTATAAATTATTACATATGGAGTGGATGAAGGAATTACACTTAAGTTAAAAATATAACTTCATTAGAAGTGTTATTAAATATTATTTTATTTATGTGATGACATATTCCATTATTAAAATTAGTTAATAGAATTTGTATTAAAATCTTTTAGTTTACGCTTAAACTATAAGAAGAAGAGTGTCTGGACATTTTACTTTCCTATTGTTAATGTATGGGGGTCAATTAATGATTGACGATCAATTCTACTAATATATTTTGGTAGTCGTAATAGACCACAATAGATTCGGGCAAACAAAAACTTAGAACACCTTTGATCATTAGTTGTTAGATTCCTAAAGTTAGATGCAACAGAAGTTTGGGCGAAACTGCTTTGCTGACTTCTTGATGGTGATGCTTTTATTGTGTCAGATATCGTTGATGATGAGGTTTGTGAAGTTGTCATGCATTATACTTCCAATCAATTCCTCATATTATATGCTGATGTTGAAGAGCTTGATGCTACACAATGACGAGTAGAATAATATCATTCATGTTAGGGAAGAGAACATATACTTTGGGCATGAACAATATCTAAACACTCTGATGTGGAGTTCTGTCGGTAGATAGTTTACATAGTAAGTGCCGTACTGATATATGTCGATTTTTTTATTAGCATATTTAAGAAGTTTATGTAATGATATTAATATGAAGAATTTGATGGGCAGGTTAGCAGAAATACGTCGCCGTGTGGACATTCATGCTTAATATTCACAACCTAAACCTATAATTGTTCAATGATATGTAACTATGAGCAACGACATAAGTGATGATTTCATTGATTGATCAAATGATATAGATTTGGAGTATGGTTGACCAGGTTTAGAAGGAGAGCCCCAAGCACATGAACTCATTAGTTAGTACTATACAAGGACCATTTAGCACACGATGGATTGGTTAGCAAGAATACTTTTGTGGGTAGGTGCATAAATGCAAAAGAGTGGACTAATGAGCTGAATTTTGATAATGACATGGAAAGAAAATATACATCTCATGCACTTGAGATACCAAAAGAAATATTGGAAGACTTGTGTAATCCAACAAAAATGGATCCATAATTTGCTCTTAGGGCATGGTCCATAAAGAATAATGTTGAATTTCATATTGTTGCATACAACCAGAAGATATATACATTATGTTGTGTACATAATTTTGCAGTATTACATCCATGCTTATGACGACCGCATATGTGTTCAAATAAGCACTTGGGTGGATTATGAAAGGTGTTCTCAATTAGGCACACATATACTTAAATACCATACTTCTTAGTGGACACATACAATGTACCTCTATATTTATAAGTTATTTAATACTCCTAGTTTTTTGAAGATAGATTGACCTCAAACCAAGATAAATTATCACTCGCATTGAGGCAAAATTTAATATTAGTGTCCTACATGAAAGCATGGGATGCAAGATTAAAGGAAATAAACACTATTTTTTGTAGTTGGAAGGAGTCGCATCACACAATTATTTATTTTTAGAGGAAGTTGTCTGAGCCATGCTCGACATTGTGTGCATGTTACATTGCTTTGATACACATATATTTGAGCAAATAGTCTGGGCTTGTGATCCTAGTATATTGGGATGGAGGTTTTGTCAGTCAGTCCTATGTTTGAACATTACATTCTTGCTTGAAAAGTATTGTGGCACACTAATAACTATAATGGGTGTTGATGTGAACAATTGACTTTTCTTTCTTGCATTTGTTGTTATTGAATCTAAGTGTAATTCATCTTGGTATTGGTCCCTCTAATACTTGCATGGTATTCTCCTAAATATTTGACTGAGGAGTAACTTATGTTTTATCTCAAACAGATATAGGCCTGGTGCATGGTTACAAAGAGATTTTTTTTCTAAAGCTACTCATCTCGCCTGTCTATGCACCTACTAGAAAATCTTAAGAAGGCCATATATAGAATGTGCATATTTGATATTGAATTTATTTGTCAAAAGATGTACTTACCTGGCAGCATAGATGACATTCATATGTTTCATACATATATGACATATATTCAGAATGTGAAGTTGGAGGTCTAATAATTGTTAATTAATTGCACTGTTAGTAGATGGACGTTGATTCATAATAAGGTGATTTAGATATGGTACAATGACGATGAATGCATCTGATTCATTTAATAAAGTGCTAAAACATGCAAGGGGTTTACTAATGCAAGATCTCATTGCTTCCACTTATTGCAGTACCATTGGAGTGTTCATGAAATGCTTAGGAAATGCACATGACTAAGATAATTCTACCTATGACATATTCTCCCAAAAGGTTCCCCTTGCTTTAAGAAAGATAAAATAGGAAACCAGGAAAATTCTGGAACCCACACTTATCTATTTTAATGAGTTCCAAGTTTTTGATATATCAATTGGGTCTTATAAATTTAACTTCAACCAAAATGGGATATGTTCATACACCTGTGCAAACTAGAGCTTTATTGCATGTAATGTTGTCATGCCCTTAGCTGTCTAGTTATTAAAACTTTGTATCATAGTACTACACTAAGAAATACTGCACAAATATGTACTTCTCAAAATTTTATTGCACTCATACTCGTGAGGAGTGGGGGCAATAAGATCCTTCCAAAGGGCTTTTCCCACTAAGTCTTACCAATTATGGA